ACCATGGCTTTGTAATATCCAGAATTTATCGGTATGGGGAAAATGCCATGCGTATAGGATGTTACATGTCTAAATAAGGCAAATGTGAGGGTCAGTTAACGAAGCAATTTCTGTCATAAGAGAAAAGTATAGATTGCCATATGTTTTCAGCGACGAGTTCGAGAAGATAGTTATTACCATGTTCCATTTTGTAGGACGAATCATATCCTTGAATACTATGAATAGTCGTATTCAATGTAATTAGAGGGTGTGGATGTGGTAGAGCTGCCAATATTTAGATTTCATCCCGGTTAGAGGAATCATCAGTTGTCTTTAATCACAAATGTAGATCTGCTTGATTACCCGAAGAAACCAGACACTAGATTTACAAACTACTCTGCTATGTCAAAGACCTAGTGGAACTTATACACAGTTAAAGAATAGTGGCGTGGGTGTGTGTGTGTGGGTGGGTGGGTGTTTGGGTGTGGGTGCGAGTGTGAGGATGAAAGGAAGAAAAAAAAACATGGAGGGAAATACAGGGACAGAGCGAGAACATGCAACTAATCATAACACAAGTATAAACGAAAGGGGAATACATTTATTAGTGGAAATATATGGATGTCGGCATAATTTTACATTTCATTGATGATTTTGGTACAACGTTTGTGTCAATGAAAACTATAATTAAGAGCATTTCGTCAGTCTCTGCAGTATTTCCTAATACACTATAGTCCTTATATAGACAAAGATGTAGGCGAGCGAATCAAGATAATTGATAAGAATCATCATTACTCTTTTTTTTCCATGAGACACAACTAATCTTATTCATTAATCGGGGCTCAATTGTTCTTGTTTTATAGAAGCACGTACAACATTAATACTAACGAACTGATCATATTTCTGAATGTGCTTTCAATTTCTTACTGAGTTCATTTCGATCCAGGCGACATATATGTTCCGGTCGAATAGTTTGAACTGGTACGAACGTTTGTTTAAAGTCTTTTTCAATATTCTGATCGACAATATTCTAGAAGTAATGAGGAGTTTGATTGTGTACTTCAGCAGTGATCTTAAGATAGTCGATCAGAAGAAGACTATTTTGATCTTTTGATATATTTAACAAGAGCATTGCACTCCTTATATTCTCAGCACGTTCTTTCTACGAAATAATTCATTCAGATTTTAGTGTTTGACATCCCTAACGAATTTGTTTTAAAAAATATTTTGTTATATGTTTATCATTGCTTTTTATTATATAATCATCGGTGTTGTTTCTAGCTGCTTCGTATCATTTGATTGGATTTCTCAATAAGATAATTTATGAAGGCAACAATGGGATATTTCTCTGATGACTTTAACTCCTACATGACCGTATTGTATTGTCGTTGATTCTTTTCGTGGAACCAAAGCAAAAGAATATTTTATCTATGATCAAAAACAGACTATCATTTTCAATATCGAATTATATATAGAACTTTATCGGTAGATTTCATGCTAACTTAAAACCTTTCGTATACGAAGCAAACTTTGAATTTTAGAATGGTTAAACGATGTTATTAATCAACACTTTCAAATGCTTGGAAGTAATTTTGCAATTAAATGGAATGATCATTTATTATCTATGGAAACTGAAATATTGTCACTCACTGCAAATATGTTCGATTTAAAAAACAACCATGCTCTTTAAGCGATATCTCGAATGCGTTACCATCATTATTTTGGGTTAAAAAAATATTTTATGGAAGTTTATTCAAATGTGATACCTGATTGTGTTTATTTACCTTGTTTAGTTGCTCGGGATCATCTTTTTTGATCACACAGAATTGGATAATAGTAATTAGCATGAGTCATTGTTTAAGGCATTTACTTATTCTCCTTTTTTTATCGAAGTGTCTGTCTATCATAAACTGAAATAGAAAAGAATCCTATTTTTAATTTGATTGGATTAATGTAAAACGTTGCATTTGACTTTCATGTTGATTAATTATGTTCAATAGTGAAAAGATATGAGAGTTCCATATTGGCTCACATACATAGTCATAGGAGCGTTTTATGAGAGAGTATCGGATAAAATCTACATTGCTTAATGCATTCTGTCGAAGATTGTTGAACTTTAGCAGCAATCTCACAGATACTAACAATTCTATTTAGTCTGTTTATCAAATACATGATCTTAAACAATTATTCAGATCAACTTATTGATCGTAGGGATCGATTCTCTGAATTGCACTCATGAAAAGCGTCTTTACATTGTCAATTCTATTCTTTATTCATGTTCGTAAGGAGTAGTATTTTTGATTGATTTCATTTGTTCTTCCTAAACATCACGAATGATCATCAGTAAAGTATACAAAAGATGCAATTAGTGATGAATGCAGAGACATTCAAGAAAAAAACATACTATGATCATACACAAGTATTTACTTATATATTTAATCCTCTGCTTATAGTATCTTTAATTTTACATTCTTACTATCTATCATCGAATGATGTTTCAAATTCTAACCTGGCTTCTTGTACCTATTGTCATGTCTTTAACTCCGATACGGCAATATCTTATTTCAGCTGATTTTCTTAGTGGATTCAAAGCAAGAGAATATTCTATTTACGATCAGACAGGCCAATATCTTCAATATCGGATTGAGTCAAGATATCATGTTCTACAAACGATTGAATTAATTGCTTATCCAAGAAAGAATGTTACCGGTAAACTTCAAGCTAGTAAAAATCCTTTCGAATATGAAGCAGATTTTGAAGTTTATGATGGTCGTAAACAGAAATGGTCGAAAGGTTCTATTAAGCAACATTGGCAAATATTTGGAAGTAATTTTACAATTAAATGGAATGATCATTGATTGTTGATGGAAACTAAAACTTTGACATCTACAACAAATATTTTTGATACCGAAAACAAACACAATCTTTTGACTAGATTTCAACTACGCAGAAAACCATTTACATGGGTTAGCAAACATGATATGGAAATCTATTCAAATGTAATACCGGATGCTGTCTATCTGCTAGGTTTAGCAGCCAAGGATGGTCTTGACCGGAGAAAGAGTGGATAGGATCAATGGACACGAGTCATCATTTAATGCATTCCTTTATTATTTGTGCTTTTCAGACATCGACGATAATTAATCGCATCTAATTTCTTAATACAATCGATAATCTCTTTTTGGAACGAGAATCAGAGTAAAAGATAAAGATGATCTACATTTCTTTTTAGACGTTTCTTGAGGGTGTGGATGTGGATCTTGTTGTGGATGGGAGTGGGTGTGGGCGTTTTTGTTTTCTTTAAAGCCATCCACACTCACACCCACCTACACCCCACACATCCACACCCCACGCACACACTCACATCCCACACCGAGATCCAACATTCCCAATGTTTTCTATTGATACAAGTTATATTTTTATGCTGATTATTTTCGAATATTTCAAATTTTCCTGATCATTGCCTTTGAGCAATGTTGAAACCATTGTCGTAAGTAGCTTGCAATTATTTTATTTATACAAACATCCTTTAGTTTTTGAAAGTCTCTTATTAAAATCTCACTGGGTGAAAATGAAAGATATTTATAATTCAATGATTTATGGAAACGTCTTACCGAATAATCTTTACTAATATCACTTCTCCTTTTGAGAAAATCTTATATATAAGATTTATGGTTCGAGACATCTTTGAATTCTACTTTATTTTAAAGATTTCTTTGTTAAATATAAATAATCAATGTTAGTTTTGCACTAAGAATATATGGAATTTCGAATAAAGCTTTATTTAGAAAACAAGATCGAAGAATTTTAGTACAGTTTTGAATTGTTTTAAATAATTTGTTGTAAAGGAATAAAAACGAATAAAGCAAAATAAATAAAAAATGAATAATGAATCGTAGTAATAGCTGATGATTGAACTGATGATTGAGTTAATAATTGCGTCGACGATACATTTGATGATGGAGTTGATGTTTGAGAATAATTAGTTACAGATGAATTTGATAGGGAACCTAAATATGATGACTGTGCACCAACAATTTGAATTTGCCAAGTTGCTACATTTAAAGTAACAGTAACATTATTAAGGCCAATAACAGATCCATTCGTACAAAGAGTATCTTGACCTGAAGCTGGTGCTTGTTTATGAATAGGTGACTGAACAACGCCTGAACCATCATTCATAGAAGAGGAACAAGCATTAGCTGGCCATGGATTTCCAACAGTATTATTTGCAATAACTGTATTCGAGAGTGTTATTGTTGTTTGACAACCACTAAAAGCAGCCGCAAAAGCTCCAGCATAATTATTAGCAACAACGAGATTTGTAAATGTTCCAGAAACAGGATTTGAACAATATAGAGCCGCACCTAATCCAGTATAAGCTTGATTTCCTATTAAATGAACTGAATCTAATACAACTAAGTTCTGATTAGCAAAAAAGATTCCACCACCACCGGTAGCTGAATTATTAACAATAGATGAATATGTAATTGTTGCCCGACTACCTTGAATATATAAACCACCAGCCGATCCATTGGAAGATTGTGGTATCCAATTATTATCCACAATAACTTGATCAAAGTCATTTCTTTCACTTCCATTATAAGCAACGCGAAAAAATGCTCCACCATATTTATTTCCTTGATTTCTTGTAAATCTTGTTCCACAAATAGAATTATTTCTTCCTAAACCATCGAAACTAATAGCACCACCGTTTCCACCATTTCCTGGATTTCCTCCATTTCCAGTTGCTTGATTTCCTTCAAAATATGAATTAACAATAATTAAACCACTACCAAGAATCCCAAGTCCACCACCATTTGAACATTTATTTTCTAGAAACATACTTCCAATAATAGTTGTTGTTCCACCACCGATAGTCCAAATAGCACCACCAGCAACATCTTGTCCAACAACAGGTCCAGTATTATTTTGAAAGGTAAGACGGAAATTCGCCAATAAGAATTTCGACAACGGAATTTCGACAATATTGCCGAATTTCGAAAACTGCCTAGGTCTTCCCCAAAGTACGACAATAAAAAATCTCATGCGGTATA